CTCGCCCTTGAGCTGGTCTGCTGTCCTAATAGCTGGCTCTGCTTAGCCTGTCAGGAGGCTGGCCTGAGGTGCTGGCAGTGCCCTCTTTATCTCTGCTCTTTGTTCTCAGTAAACTCACTCCTTCCTCCAATACTCTGTGTCTGGAAATTCTTTTCCAGCCCACGCTTGGACTCCCGTGACAGCCAGCAAGTTCCTCTTTAGTGCACCTTTCCGTCTGTAACCCTGGCCGTGAAACATCCTGGTTGCCCTAATTCTCCATTATCCACTACTAAGAATCATAAATGGAATTGGAAGGCACCCTGGAGGTGGGCATTTTACAGACAGAAGCCCAGAGCTGAAGGTCTTGCTCAGGCCAGTTGCTAGTGGGTGGCAGAACAGATGTGGTGGGGCTTAGTCACTCAGTCGTGTCGACTCTTTATCACCCCGTGGACTGTAGCCCACCAGGCTCTTCTGTCCATGGGGATTTTCCAGGCAAGAATACTGGAGAGGGTTGGCATGCCCTTCTCCAGGGGATCTTCCCAACCCAGGGATTGAACCCAGGTCTCCCGAATTGCAGGTGGATTCTTTACCATCTTGAGCCACCAGGAAAGGCAAAACAGATTACCTATCTTATTTCTTATAACCCACCTTATTCCTGCAAGTGACTTAGTTTTCAAGGTTAACTAAAACACAAGATAGCAAAATGGCGATGAAGAGCAAAAACAGAAAGCAAATAGTTTAAGACAACCTGGGAATGAAATGAAAACAGAAACATATACCAAGAAGACTGCAAACCACAAACTTGGCTCTAAAGATCTGTTTGTTAAAACAGAGGAGATCAGGTCAGACACAAAATCCACGATATGCATGAAAGAAAAATAGCCCAGAGAAGTCCAACCCTTGTTGGTGCCAGTGCCTGACAGGCATCACCTACAAAAATAGCTTTGTGTGTTGTAAAGAAAGTCCTCAACAATATTCCAAAGGTGTACAGAGAAAGCTTCCCTGAGTGAGTATGGGGCTGGTGGCTGATGTAATATGTCCCAGAAAACAGCATTTTATTGTGGGCATGGGGGAGACTGAAAATCAAAGCCAGGATCTGTAGTCGAGGGGAAAAGCTCACCAAATTGAAATGTGAGAAATTTTTAATTCAGAGTTGTGTGACATCAGGAGTACAATAATAATTACNTGATGTAATATGTCCCAGAAAACAGCATTTTATTGTGGGCATGGGGGAGACTGAAAATCAAAGCCAGAATCTGTAGTCGAGGGGAAAAGCTCACCAAATTGAAATGTGAGAAATTTTTAATTCAGAGTTGTGTGACATCAGGAGTACAATAATAATTACTGTTCATAATTATGACCCAGAGGCACTGTAGATCCTAAAGTATTTTCTGAATCATCGAAGAGAAGTTTTCTAAAAAAAGTTCAATCTGGTTTCTTGTCAATTTAGCACGTAATTAGGTACTGTCATCTGTTCTAGCTGCTATTTCATATATTTGTTTTATCCCCTTCAGTTAGATTGTCATTGAGGGCTTTGGTCCACATATAGAGCAAGTACCATGTTACTTAACAAATACAATGTGGATCCTTTAGGTTGACTGTGGAGGGGAAAAATCTCTCCATAAGGAGGGACAGCTGGACTTTTCAGTTGATTCTTCTGAGCTCTGTGAGTGTATATAGCTTCTATCACAGGACTGGGAGGGGTACTGCTCTCTCTATTAATGTCATCCCTTTATTCCAGTCCCGTAGTACCTTTGAGAATAATCTGGAATATTAAATAAGACCTTGTAAAAGGCTTGGGGGGAAAAAAAAGACTTGGGGAAAATAATTACATTTAGTAACCTGAAACCATAGAATCTAAGTTACCATTACCAACATCAACAGTGTAACACAGGGATTAAGAGCCCAGATTTTGGAGTCAAACTACCTGGGTTCCAATTCCAGCCCCACTGTTTACTGTTTGGCCTTGGGCAGGTTATTCAAACTCTCTGTGCCTTATTTTTCTCAAGTGTAGAAAGACAATAGTGTTACTTATAGAGGCATGTGAGGATTAAGCAAACACTTCTAACAATGCCTATACGGAGTAAATATGTGCAGACAACTAATATTATAACTGAGCACTTTTCATAGTCAGACACTTCATATGTATTAAGTCACTCTTCATGTAATGCCCTAATCCAGTGGGTGTCAAAGTTTTTGGTCTCAACCCCTTTACGCTCTTAAAATTTATTAAGATTTTAAAGATTATTAAACATTTATTAAGATAACACCCTCGCCTGTGTTGTCAGAGCTCTTACTGGCCACAGAGATCTTGGCCTGACCCCAAGCCCACTGTAGCGTGAACACTGCCTTGTAAGGGGGGGTCCTCTGTCTTCTATCTGGTTGTCAGTGATGTTGTTGACTGTGAGTTGGTCTCTTCTAGAGAGGTGAGTTGCTTGAGGCATTATCCATGCATCTCAGAGCCTTACATGCTTCTCTTTGACCACGAAGTCCATGAGTTCATACATCTGTGAGTATAGTCACCACTCACGTGTTGATCTTTATCTCGCCCACAGGGCTTCCCTGCTGGCTCCGTGGTTAAGAATCAGCCTACCAGTGCAGGAGGCACAGGTTCAATCGCTGGGTCAGGAAGGTCCCTTGGAAGGGGAAATGGCAACCCGCTCTAGGATGCTTGCCTAGGAAATCCCGTGGACAGAGGAGCCTGGCAGGCTACAGTCCATGCAGTCTCAAAGAGTTGGACACCACTTAGTGACTAACCAACAGCAATCCTGCCCACAGCAGTGTTCAGCTGGGAGCAAGAAGTACAAGTTAGGGATGGTGGAAGCAGCAATCTTGTGGGATAAAGACACACAAAAGCCCAAGGCAAGTCGATATATAGAGTGATTCTTCAAAGCCATTTTCTTTTGTTGTAGTCAAAAAAAAAAAAAATATGTATGTGCCTCACCAACCAGAATTGACAAATGTTAATCTTCTGTCGTATTCATCGTAGATCTATTTAAATAAAAGAAATAGAACATCACAAACAAGACTGAAGTCTCTCTAAGCTATGTCCTTTAAGAATTCATTTCACAGTTATGTTGAAGGATGGCAGTGAAGGAAGGGCAGGGAAGGACGGTTTCTCTCTCCTCCTCCCAGTCGTTCAGCTCTCCCCAGACTTGACTGTCCCATTCAGCAAACAGAAAGCAGAGTGAGTGCATGAATGCTCCTTAGCAGGCAGCTTAGCAGCTTATCTTCCCCCAGTCCACGCCAGAACCACCCCACATCCCAGTATGCCAATCGCATGCAGGACTCTTTTTGAAAGGCGTCCTGGAAACACAGAAAGAGACAAACTGGAGCAGGCGCTGTGAGGCTGAATCTGAACCGATGGGGCAGTGCAGGGTTTCTGGAGGCTGCTGTGGTTCGGACGGCTACCTGGGTGTGGTGGCCTTGAATAACAACAACAGCAAATTGGAAACTATGATTTTCCAGATCTAGTTGCATTTCATGGGGATTTCGATGCTCCTTATAAACTGAGTTTCTGTGCACTGCCCATGCTTGTTCATTCTTCCTTGTCTGGCTGGAGTTGTGGGGCCTTAGCAATGCCCACACGGATGACTTGGTTAAGCAAATTGGCAGTTGTCTGAGTCTGTAGTCAGGAGTAAGGAGAGAGCACAAACAAGCCAGTCTTGCTCTTTTTTCCTTCCCAATCTCTCCAGCTACAGTAAATCAAGCTGCCTGACAATCTTTTTTTTTCTTGCCGCATCTGAATCTAATGCCCTCAGCCTAGAAATTTCCATTATATCACTCAGCGCGTGGCAAGAGCAATGGGTGTCTCTGATTAGTGAAGCTGAAGAGCAGAAATGAATCACCAGACCTTTGTATTCTAGAACATGGGTCTGGGATGAGTGAATGCAGGAGGTCGGCCAAAACACAGCCCCAGTGACTCAATTCTTCAATGATTTAAAATCAGCATAAGCCTGGGAACTTATTGTGAATAAATATCACCATTTAACAGGCAATAAGGAGAGGGGTGAGGTGGTAGGGCTGGGAAGACACCTGCTTCTGCTGATCTTTTGCTCAGTTTCCCTCGCTGTAAAATGGAGCCACTCATCATGATCTGCTCTCAGGAGGCTGTCACTGTGAGCCATATAATTTAGAAAGTGGCTTGCTGTTTGTGCTAAGTTGCTTAGTATTATACGGACTGTAGCCTGCCAGGTGCCTTGCCTGTGGAATTCTCCAGGCAAGAATACTGGAGTGGGTTGCCATGTTCTCCTCCAGGAGATCTTGCCGACCCAGGGATCGAACCTGCTTCTCTTACGTCTCCTGCATTGGCAGGGGTGTTCTTTAGTGCCACCTGGGAACCCTAAAAGTCAGACTTCTCTGTCTGTGGAATTCTCCAGGCAAGAGCACTGGAATGGATAGCCATTCCCTTCTCCAGGGGGTCTTACAACAAATTAAAGGCAACTTCACAGCATCAAGCACTGGGCTTTATATCATGGAAGGAGGAAATAGCAGACGTAGTCTCCAACTAAACTTCCAACCAGGGATGCAGAAATGACTCCGACTCTTCTCAGGAAACGGGAAAGGATATAGGGGCTCTTATGAGCCAACTGGAATAAAAGCTAGCACACTCAACTTTCTATCATTTGAGAATCAGGTGGAGCAGGAGAGAATTCTCAGGACGTCTTCAGAGTGGAAGAAAGGGCAGGAACTTGTGTAAACTAATAGTGGGCTTAGAAGGGCATTTAAGGGCTGCTGGATCCAATCCCAATCCAGATCTTTTACCCCACTCATTCCATCAGTTGATTGTCATGTCTTTGCTTGAAAGCTTCCAGTGACAAGGAGTTTCCACCTCTCAAGGTAGTCTTTCTTCCTTTGAGTATCTTGCATCATTGTAGATTGCTTATAGACTCTCCGTCATGAAACATTGTTGCAATAAGTCCACTTGTCTCCTAAGCCATCCTCTTTGGATATGCCCATTGGTCTGGGTCCCTGATGAGGTGTATCACTCAGGGCTTACAGGGAGCCTAACCACCTGTGAGCACCCTGGGTCACGCCCCCTTTTGTCCCACCCTCACCTGTGTGCTGTTAAGAGGGAGGGTGAGGCAGGGAACATGGCACTGATGATGGCTTGGTCGATGAGACAGGGCCCTGCCTTTTTAGCTTTAACCTCCACTCTCACCCTTTTGCCTTCTCTCTGCGGGGGTTGTAGGCCTGGTTTTTGTGTTTGTGGTCATTGCAGACTTGAGCATTCTGCAGATGTTCATATTCTACAGCTGCAATTCTCCCAGGTGAGCGCTGACCGGGTCACAGCAGGTCAGGAGGTGTGTCCTGGCTCCCCTCTGCATAGTTTCTGAAGTGCAGCGGTTCTGCGGGCTGGTCCTTGGGCCAGCAGCGTTAGAACTTCTTAGAACTGGGAACACATTAGAAATGCGAACTACGGTCTCGTGGTGGTCCAAGCAGAGGCTGGGAAAGAATTTCCAGACACAGAGTCTTTTAGAAAAGAGAGAATTTATTGACAACGAAGGGCTGAGGTAGTGAGGGGTGCTGCAAGGACAGTGGGCTGACTTCCTGACAGATCAGGGAGCGGTGACCCCTTTTGTGGGCTTCCGGCCAGTTTTTATAGTCTCGGGACAAAGAAAATTCCAGTGGAGAGGGGAGGCCTGAAGTCACGGTTGGGGGTCTTTTGGTGCCCACTTGGCCTGAAATGGAGACGGGAGCTGGCTGGTTAGGGACAGGATGGCTCATGACAAACAGGATGGCTCATGACAATGGTTGCTATGGAGCTTGGCTAATTCTGGATTTGTTGCTCTATGACCTCCGCCTAGGGCTCCACGTATAGGACCTCACCCCAATCCTGTTGTATCAGATACTTCTGGACTACATGCCCAGTGATCTATTTTAACAAGCCCTCCTGTTATTCTGATTTGAAACCCACAAATAGAGGGGACGCTCTTGCCTCACCCACCCACCCACGTGTAGCCTGTGTGCTCATTCCTAGCTACCATAAGGCTGCCAAAGCCTCCGGATGGGGTCCCTTCTCGCAAGAATTAACCCCAACCTAACAGAATTCTCCTTGTTATGGAAGATAATGCAATGTACCCTCCTTTCTCTCCAGAAATCAATGACTGATACAAGGTAGGAAAGGCTGGCTTGTTGTCTACAGAGAGGCCCAATCTGTGCTCCCAAGCTCCCGTGGGACCAGGCTGAAACTGAGACCCCCACTGTGCTGAAGCTCCCTTTCTCTGCGGTCTCCTGCTGGCTTCTCTCCTCCTCTGAGAGCATTTTCTCAATAAACGATTTTCACGAGAATCCCCGTCACAAGCTGTGCCGCTCGGCAGCTTGACTCAATCACCCACGTGAGTTAAGACAATCACCCAAGTAAAGGGGAGAATCCAAGGATTTATGAAGACGTTTAAGAGGCCCATATGGGGACCTAAACATATCTAGATAATTAGGGAAATGTGCTTTTTACTAGCTTTTGCATGTAGACATGGCGTGAGAGATGCTCCGCCAGATGAACAGGGGGGAGCTCCGTGGACAGTGTGGTGACCCTGAATTTCTTTAGCACATGGAGATGGCTGACCCAGTGCTCAGCCTTCTTGCTGGACTTCATGGGCTTGTTCTCACCATCCAGTGAGGCTGGTGATGAAGGACTTTTGGTATAAGCAGAACGAATCACAGGGAGGTTAAGCGCTGGCAGAGAATCAGCTGCTGAATAAAATCGAGATTCCATTCCCACTCCCTTATTCACCATTACCACCAGCTCAGCCCTTCCTCTGAGGTTCTAGTGACATTCTTTAGCAGCAAATCCTTGCCCCTCAACACTACTCTCCTAGAATTGATAGGGAGAAAGTTTGGTAAAATAGGCTCAATAAAATAAGGGCTTCTTCACAGATGGTGCACTGGTAAAGAATCCGCTTGCCAGTTCGGGAGACTTGGGAGACACAGGTTTGATCCCTGGGTGGGGAAGTTCCCCTGGAGTAGGAAACAGCAACCCACTTCAGTATTCTTGCCTGGAAAATCCCAACGGACAGAGGAGCCTGGCGGGCTATATATAGTCCATGAGGTGGCAAAAGAGTCGGGCACGACTGAGCACACATGCATGCATGCATTCCTAGAAATGACAGGGAGAACATTGGGCAGATAGATGACTCAGTAAAAGAAGAGTCTACTATCAAGTGTTTAGCATAATAAGCGATCCGACGCTTTCATCAGCTTCACAGTTAGCTGTGTCTGCCTGGAACAAAGTGGAGGTTTGACAGTTATCTGGAGTATTCAGGCCATGTGGCTTCGGGTATGGATGGGGACTAAGACCACAGCAAGTCTCTAGAGGTCGGGGGGCTTACACACTTCTGGTGCTCACACATTCCCATGGAGAGGGCTGGCGTTATGTCCCTGGCAGGGGGTCTTTTGGTACCACTTTGCCTGGTGTGGAGACGGGAGCTGGCTGGTTAGGGACTGAGACAGGAAGATGGGGAGGGCCTCACCTTCAGTAGGTAAGGTGACTTTACACATGGTCAGGGCGGCTAGGACAACTTCTGCCTCCTCAGAGCGCTCGTTTGACCAGCGGGGTGGATAGGATGCTGAATTTCTCTGTCCCTTCCAATGCTGGAGGCATATTTAGCTCAGACCCCCTGTGGCGAAGCCTGTTGACTTGTAGACGCAGAGTCTCTTGGCTGTGGTGTGAACCACGACCTTTTGTGCTTGGCTCAGTGAATCATGCTATTCAGCAAGTGCTTTCATTGAATCCTCATTATGTACCAGACAATGTACCAGGTACTGGGGATGGAGAGATGAAAGACGCAGACAGTCCTTGACTTCATGGGCCGGTGGGGGCTGATGCGGGGGGGCAGCATAGGTAAGTGACTGTTTGGTAAGTGTTGAGGAAGCCCGCAGCTAGTGGCTGGGAGAGGGGCTGGCATGACTCGTGAATAATTCTGATGGATAGAAGAAAGGGCTGGAGAAGAGGGAAAGGGTGGGGTGGGGAGACAGGAAGAGGGGCTGAAAGTCATTGCAGGCAGTGAGACCAGGGAGTAGGGTGAGACACAAGCTGATTCTCCTGGCCAAAGCATGGGTGGGTGTTGTGGTGAGGGTTGGGGGGGGGTAGGGGTGGGGTGGAGTAGGCAGTGGGCCAGGAAGGGGCAGCAGCAGGGTCTACTTTGGGGCCAGAGGCAGGGCCAGAGGAATGGGGGTCTGGGATGCCACGGAGCACTGCGGACTTTATCCAAAAGGCTGTGGCAAGTCAGGAGGGCAGTAATCAGAGGAGTGATGATAGCAGATTTTAGAAAGGGTCTTCATGGCAGCAGCATGGAGGATGAACAGAGGGAAGCTGGTAGTGATTCCAGGGTGAGCAGGTTGGAGACTCACGCTGCAACCCAGGAGAGAAGTGATGAGAGTGTGAATAAGGTGGTGTGCCTTTACTTTGGATCAGAAAGAGTTTTAAAAAATCTCAACTCCTCCTAATAGTAGCTGAGTGACCTGTGATGAGTTACCACTCTCCTTCAAATCTCAATTTCCCCATACGTAAGATGGTGACGTAGTCGCTAAGTTGTGTCTGACTCTTGTGAGCCCATGACTCTGGCCCTCCAGGCTCCTCTGTAAGTGGGAATTCCCAGGCAAGAATATTCCCTTTCCTCATAAGGTTGTGGTGATTCACTGTAAAGAGCTTGGTGCAGTGCATAAAATGCAGTGATCACTAAAAGCTGGCGTCCTTACTCTTATTCTTATGCATCCATCCTGATTTGGATAGTCCCCCTAAAAGCAGGCAATGAAACAAAGATATGAGTGCAGGAAGTTTGTCTGGGAGCTGATCCCAGGGAGCACGAGTGACTGAGTGAGGAAAATGAGACAGGCAGTGAGAAAGTTCCCTGACTGAGGAAGGTGCTGCTGTGGGCAACTGGGGTTTGGATTCTCTTGCGGCTCTCAGGGAAGCTGTATAGAACACAGCTCAGAGTTGTCCTTCCAAGGGATGGGAAAGCCGGGGTATTTATCCACCAACGCCTGTCCCTGATGAGCTGAGGGTTGCCTCTCTAGGTCGTAAATCCCCGGTGCTTCCAGACTTCTCTGTACACAGTTTGAATAAACTTCTGTGGGCCCAAACACTGGTGGGCCCCAAGCTCTCAGCAAAGTCTCAGGTCGCAGAGACCGATGACTGGATGGAGACTCATATGGCAACCAGAAGCTGGAGCGAACACAAAAGGCTGCGGTGGGGATGAAAGGAGAGCCTCCCACCTGCTGCTTTGGAGTGAAGGAACAATTCAACAATAGTTGGGAAATGGAATCAGTGGATCTTGGTGAGCGGAAGTAAGAAGTTTGGTGGCATCTTAAAATGACTTTAGTGTTTGGTCTAAATACTTAAAATGACTTTAATATTTGGCCTAAATACCAAGTATTTAGCTTGCTCTGAAAAGTGTAGAGTTTAAAACAGTTGCCAGAGGGGTAGTTTTTGGTGGCTGAGAATGATTTTGACTTGGACATGTCGAGTCAGACGTGTCTTGAGATCTAGCCAAGTGTCATACTGGATTGGCAAACGGAATTTTCCTAATTTCCCATTAAACTATGCAGGCTTCACTTTGATATGTTGAAATTTCTGAAACAAGTTTCGTGGGAGCAAACCTTGCATTCTGATGATGAGGGAAGATTTCTCCCGCCCCCGCCGCAGAAGCACATTTAATCTGGTGGCTTAAGTGATGGCTTTTAAAACAGCCTGTTGTCTCTTTCTGCCCGCTGCTCTCTTATTAGGTGACTTTGAACCTGTTGGCGAATTCCACTGCAGATTATTTCCCTCTGAAGAAATGGAATGATAAATACTCTCCTGAGTTATTGCATGGCTGTTGAAAACTAGACAGCATTTTCAAAGCCCTTTGGAATTGTTGCAAAGCACAGTGCCCCATCAAGTACTATATTACTTTGCCTTCAAAACTTACAGCATTCCAATTATCCTGTGGTTACTGAATCCAGGACTAAAGTGAATATGCTTATTTTCTAAAGTAGAATTTTTAGATAATAAAAGCTTATATTTGCCAAGTGAGATAAACCAGATATTTAGCTAATTGTGGCACAGAACTCATCCTGATTTTATATACACACATATTTCTTTCTCTCCATGTACATGTATATTTGTATCTGGAGACATGCATCCTGTTTTTGCTCTATTTCAGAATGTATTTTTCAATAGATGTGGAAACCACTTACATTTTAATTTTCTGAAGTGGTTTCTTTGATGGATATTTTATTATAGGAAGTGTAGGACATCCAAGTCAATGGGGCCAGACATAAAAAGTGAAATAGGTAAAGTCTGGCTCTTGTTCTCTTTCAAGGTGACCTCCCACGTCCCCAAGCACCTTCCAGGTCCCAGCGTTCACTGTGAAGGTACTCCAGAGTTGTAGGCCTCCACCTCCAAAGACAGATTTGTGGAACCAGCACAAACACCGAGGGCTTGTGAGTTTCCTGTGATGTTCACTTTAGCCATGCTTGCTTGTAGAGTGTTGCTTGCAAAGCCATACTTGCTTGAGCCATACTTGTATATGAGGCTCTGGTATCCATAGTGAAAGTGGAAGAAACAAAGTTTGCAAATCCATTTCTGAACAAGACCAAACATCCTGAGTCTATTTTATCTTCATGAGTGGATGGATGTGTATGTTAGTTGTTCAGTCTTGTCTGACTCTTTGTGATCCCATGGACCATAGACCATCCCATAGACATCCTCTGTCCATGGGATTCTCCAGGCAAGAACACTGGAGTGGGTAGCCATTCCCTTTTCCAGGGGATCTTCTTGACCCAGGGGTGGAAACTAGGTCTCCCGCATTGCAGATCAGGCTGCACTCATAGTAGAGACTGGCTCCGGAGGAAGGCAAGGAAAGATGAAGGTAGGATGTTTTACTGTAGGCCAGACATGGTCCTATGTGTTCTGCATGTATATTATCTCATTTAACTTAATAAAGCAATATATTTCCTCAAAAATATGCTTGAGAATCAGCATTTCTCAAGAAAAAACAGGGACCTTCTTTCCTCTAGCTCCTGTTTCTCTGAGAGTTCCCTTGGTGACTCTTAGATGAGTACCCTTCTCTCTCTTTTTTTTTTCATTTAGACAATTTTAAGGGCTGAATTTTAATTTTTTTTTTAAGTTCCAAGCAACATCAGGTCTTGTAATGGTCATTCCTCTAGGGAAAGATAGGACAGTAAAGTCAAAGAGATTTTGAAAACGAAATCTGGGAGGGGGGGCAGTGAAATAAGTTTGCAGAGCACAAAATAAGATGACGACAATGACATTATTTTCCTTTTGAAGGAGAAGAGCTGGCAAATGCATTCAGAGATTGGATGCTTTTAGTCTGCTAATGAGGGATTATTCATTTTTCTGCTCTGCATTTGAGGAGACTGGCTCAAGAAGAAAGCTTTGGATGTTGGAAAGGGAGGTCTAGCTGGGGTCTGGCCACATCCAGCATTTTGTTCCAGAAGCTGAGGTCTGTCTGGGCTCTTTGAGCTGGTCAGGTGTATTTTCAGCTCCACTGCCTGCAGAAACCACTGAACTCTGCACAGGCCACGGGGAGCGAGGTGCTTGTGTGCGCCCACCCTGCTGTTCAGCTTGGAGCCACCACTGGTTTCAATTATGACTTCAACAGGCAGCTTTGAGGGCTCCACTATTCATTACAGCGCCTCACTCTCCATAATTAGTAATAAAGGAACACAGGCACTTCACAAATATAAAGTGCTAAACAATAATCAGGCAGTAAAGGCAATGCATTGGGACTTTTCTACTTAACTCTTTGTTTCTTTCAAGTTAAAAAGAACAAAAACACATTTCACTATTTCATTTTATTTTCTTGCCTTGAATAATCTTGGTTAAATCTTATCCTGGCCACTGACTAGCTTTGTGACTTTTGAGTGTCTTACCTAAATTGTGTCCCTGCTTCCTTATCTGTAAAATGGCAATAATGATAGTTCCCATTCTTAAGGAGGATGTTTGAGGATTAAATGAGATAATTCATGCAGAGTATCTTTGTAAGGAGCTCCACTCATATAAAAGCTCATTCAGGAAATGTTAGCTCTCATTATTAATTTCTAATAAAATGAATGCACAGAGTATAAGACAGGGTGCAAGTCTTTAGTGTGTGTGTGTTTAAAAACCTTCATTACATACATTTTCAAACACAAATACACAAATAGGTCAGTATAAGCTTCTCCCTTCACACACACATAAACCAATGCTAGCACTGACCATGACCAATATATTTTGTTTCATGTAGCCTTGTGCTTTCTTCTAGAATATTTTAAAACACATCCCAAGCATCATTTCGCCCATAAGTTTGAGTTTCTTTTTGGTATTAAAACCCTTACTATTTAAGCTAAGAGCCTCTTGGGTCTATCTCATCTTAACCTTGAACCCCAGTCCTTAGGAACTACAACAGTTAGTAAAAGCTTTGCAGAGGTTTAATTAGTGAAAGAACAGTCCAAACTCAGTTTTCCTCCACTTTTTAGTACCTGCTCCATAAAGATTTGTTGAGTAAATAAATGAGGGCAGGAACTTTATAGCATGCCCGATGTATATGGACAGGCATATGTTTTACAAAAGCAACCAATATACTTGACTGAGACACCAATACTTGAAATCCCACAGGTTTAAAGTTGCTGTGAACACTAATAATGCCCAAATAATTAGCACTTGAAAAAAAGTTTAATTCTGCTACTCAGATTATTTGTGAAAGCCTGACTGTAGGCAACTGTAGGAAAAGCAATTAGCAGATTCTTCAAACACATGACAAATCCTTTATTACTGTGCTTATAAGTGACAGGGTTTACAGAAAACCAAATGTAATTAAATAACAATTGAACTTGAAATCTACCACAGACTCAAGATATACAAGTTATACTCGGCCAGGCAAAACTTCTCAAACACTAGGTTGTTTCGGGTGAAAGATAAATTTCCATTAAGTAATCCCAACATATTTTTTTTTGTCTAACAGACAGTTCCTTTGGCAATAACTTCCACTTTAGCTTTTATTATATAAAAATATAACAAAATTTCATTATATACAAACATTACATTACACCATGTACAGGTTAAAAACACTAAGAAAATGGCAAGCCGCAAGGGAAATGAAAGTCAATAGCATGATAAGAAAAAATTAAATACTGCACACATTTCATAAAAATTACATTAACTACATTTTTGTTTGCAAATACCAAACAGTACCAATGTGATTGGAAATAGCTTCCAACAACTTCATTTTAAGGCACATCTTGCATATTTCTATATACAACACTGAAACTGGTCAATAACTTAGGGACGTCTCTGGAGTGACCTGTGTATGAGTGACAACATGCAGCATGGGTTTACACATTTTCATTGGCTTCCTTCTTTGGGGACAGGTACCTGCCAGGGGGGGACTGATACAAGGGCACCCCGATCTCCTGCAAGTCTGGCAGCCTCCCTGGACGAGGAGGGGAGAGCAGAGTGACTGTCCTGTCATAGTCTCTGTGCAGCACCTTCTCGTAGACGCTCTGCAGTCCCACGGTCTTGGGCAGCTGGGCCTGGTAGAAGTTGTCCCTGCGCAGAGGATCCCGGGGCAGGGAGGTGCTCTTGCAGAAGGTCGACATCTGGGCTGGGGGGTGAGTGGAGGCGTGTGTGCTGGGCCCTCCAGCGCAGGAGGGGCTCCAGCAGCGGTCAGAGTGGCCCAGGATCTTACACTCCGCGGTGCACGCCCACAAGCCTAACAGAAAAGAGAAACGCAAGGGACAAACACAAGCACGATGGTTACTGAGGTTACACAGACGGTCAGGGTCAGGGTGGCTGAGAAGGGAAGCGTGTAAGATGAACGCCTGGTTCTAGATCTGAAATGAGCCCTGTTTCCTGTAAGGCCACCTTAATACGAAGCTGCCTAGGCTTTAGGGAAGCAGTAAATGAATGAATGAATGAATGAATGAATAAAAGACTTCCCCTTCTCAGCTAGTAACCTAACAGGATGGGGGGTTTATTTAGGCGGTGGCGCTGTCTCAACGTGGCATTTTGGCATCCGCCGTTTGAGGCAGGCTGGAAACCGGAACTCAAGGACAGAACAATGCGGGGATGGGAGAGCGGGGGTCTGGAAACCGAGATGCAGAAGAGAGACCCCGGCGGAAAGCAAGGGCGGGGTTGGGGGGGCGCGCGCTGAATCTGGCGTGAAGGAGCAGCCCTCACCGCTCTGCATGTGGTTGATGAGGTCCTTCTTCAGAGCGTCCCCGCTGATGTCGGAATCGCTGTCGTTGAAATCACTGTCCCCTTTGCCGCTGTCTTTCCCGCTGAACTTCTCCGCTTCCCGGCCGGAGATGGTGTTGAAGGGGTGTCCCTTCCAGACCGCCACAGGGGGCGCCGGCTCCTTGCCGAAGCCGGGGGAGGCGCCGTAGGGCTGCAGCCGGGGATGGGGGCAGCAAGCAGGGGTGAGGGTTGGACAGAAAACAAAACAAGTGCGACAGGTTAGGCGTCTCCCGCGCACGCACCCCCAGGCCCCTCCAGTCCCTTCCCCCAGCCTGTCCGCGGAGCACCGAGCGCGGCGCCCGGCCGAAGGAAGGCCTCACCTCGGCGTGCGCGCCGCGGAGCCGCTGCTGCCCCTCGAAGTGACAGGCGCTTTCCCCGGTGGCACCGCCGCCCTCCGAGCCCGGCACTTCGGCCGCGGTGGCGACCGCGGGCGGGGGCGCGTCGGCCGCGGGGCTGCCAAAGGGCGCTTTGCCGCTGCCAGGGAAGGTGAGCACGTCGAACATGTTGGGCCTGGGCCCGGCTCCCCGGGCGGCCTCCTCCGGGGAGCCGGGAGCCGAGGCTCCGCCGCCCGCCGCCCCGGGCCGCTCTTCCCGGCGGGGCCCCCCTTTGCGCACCTCCTTCTTGCGGCGGTTGCAGGTGGTGGCGATGGCGATGATGGCGGCCAGCAGCAGCGTGCAGCTCCCGGCTAGCACGATGATNGTTGGCGCCCACGTCCTCGTCCACGGGCACCTCCAGGGGGATGCGCGTGCCCACCGCAGCGCCCTCGGACACCTCCACGGGAATCTGGGCCCGGGGGAAGCGCGGCGCATGGTCATTGATGTCCCTCACCTCCACCTCCACGTGCACCAGTCGGAACTGCTGTGGGGTTCGGCCAGGCGCACGCTTTGCAGCCCGTTGGCGCCCACGTCCTCGTCCACGGGCACCTCCAGGGGTATGCGCGTGCCCACCGCAGCGCCCTCGGACACCTCCACGGGAATCTGGGCCCGGGGGAAGCGCGGCGCATGGTCATTGATGTCCCTCACCTCCACCTCCACGTGCACCAGTCGGAACTGCTCCTGGGAGAAGCTGACCACGTCGAAGGCCAGCACGCACTGAGGGGCCTGGCCGCACAGCCGCTCTCGGTCCAGGCCCGCGTCCCCGACGGTCAGCTGCCCGTCGCCCTCGCGCACTCGGATCAACGAGCTGTTGAACTGCTTCATCAGGCGGAAGCTTGTGTCTCCGGACACTTTCATATGCAGGTCTTCGGCCAGGGTCCCGATGACCGTGCCGGGGGCATCCTCCTCGAAGGTGCTGTATCTCACAGTCTTGCTCTGGGCCACCGAGAGCACCCAGCAGAGGCTGAAGAGCTGCAAGGGGAAAAGGCAGGGGCTGCCCCCGCGCCTGGCTGGACTCATGCCGCCAGCCCCAAGCGCTATTCCAAAACGCTGAGCGAGCGATTTCCTCTGTGGTTTGCAGGTCCGGGCGTGAGTCCCAGGCTCCCGAGTGCACGCTTTTTTGGCGAGCCGTGTGCAGGAGAAGTCTGCAGGCTGCAGCTCCGAGGCTCCGGCGGGCTCGGAGGACGCGTGGATCCCGCCCACACCCCGCACCTTCCCCTTCGCTCTTCGGGCTGGAGCTGCTCGGCTGTGAGCCGCCTCCGCTTTTATAGCCGCCGAAATGCAAATCACCCGAACTAGGCAGCCAATGGCGGCCTGGTTCTCGCGCCGCCGCTACGCCAGCCCCTGACGATCCCGTTACGGTGGAGGGGCTTAGAAGGGAAAACAAGAAAGGGAAAATAGAGAATCTTTCCTTTGTTTCTTTAACTCCTTTGGCTTTTTTTCACCTCCCGTCAGCGCTCTGCTTGCAGAGGCGTTGGCACAGGTCGCCGGCGTTACAGGAGCGGATGGTTTTGTTAGTTGTGACCCTCCTGTACCGGCCGCTTGTACTGAGAGCAGTCGCACTGGGATTTCGCCCTCGTGGCTCGAGACCCCACACCCACTCTGTTTTTGTTTTTGTTTTTTTTGCACCCCAGAGGCTTTGAAATCGCTCCCCCCCACCCTTCTCTTCAGACTTGCTCTGCCGGCTGAGGCTCAGTTCGCCTTTTTTCCCAACTTCCCACGGCGCTCGGAAATAGTCTCTAGATTGAGGAGCTCGAAGGATAAGGGGAAATTGATTTTATTCAAATTTGTGTATGCAATTGTGTTTTGCTCGTGTGAGCCCCGGTGATCGGAGCTGCCCCTTCCTTTTCAGAAAAGAGCTCTGAGACGTGTTAGTATGCATGTCACTGTCCAAATGGCTTTCTTAAGCCCTGGGCGCTAGCAGGCAAGGGGTAAAAAAAAAAGTTCCAAATAGGATTTAGCATAAGCTTGAGGAGATTTGGAAAGGTTTCAAAGATCAGACTGTATCAAAGGCTTATGAAGCCCTCGTTAGTAGTGGAAATAGAATGGCGTGGCAGGCGATCCCATTGGAGGCCCCAATGTCTGTATTATTTAACTGTGACAAGCTAAGGGGAGAGAAAGTTGAACAGTTTCCACAGCGGAGTTGGGCTAACTTGAATATAATGAGCAAACGCCACATGTATCCATTATGTTCCTCTATTCATCCCCAATCACTGCCATAACTCTCCTGCTAAACGGTGATGGGCGCTGAATTCCACACAATACCCAGCTCGTATTAAAGAGCATTTAGAGAACTCTCCCTCCTGATGCCTTGTTCCGCCTATTTAGAGGATTTTCTTTCTGTTCTAATAGGGCCACTCTGGGAAGCAATACTCATCCCGTTCCAGAAGAACAAAATCACAGCAGGACGCTGAAACCTGGCACTTTTCTCTTTTTTTTTCTCCCAAGGCAAAAGACTTGATAAGCAGACTGGAGTTTGTAAACGTTCTTCTGAATCCTGATTATAGTCCTGCTGACATCCTATCTGTGTTTTCCTTCCCCCTAAACCCGAAGGGATGTATCTGGGGTCTTTTCGGAAGAGATACAGGAGCATTCCCAGAGTAGGGAGGCCGAGGAGCTAGGTGGGCAGTGAGGGTGACGGGGGCGGGGCTCTGGAGCTGCCAGAGAGCAAAAATGCAGCCCCAGACCTCGTTAAAGTTCTTGAGATTGTGCCCTGGACCGTGCAGCGCGATCGTGCCTCTCGGTTCCCTTCCCCAGCTGCCCCATCCTGCTGGCCTAGGAACGCCAAAAGCGAAGAGGTTTTAGCTTGCCTTGGCGACGCAGCCGCGCAGGGACGCGGAAAGCGCGACGCCCCCTACCGGAGCCTGATTTCCAGCTTTCTCTTGCACTTTCTCCCTTCCCACTGCCAGTTCGTAGCTCGCTCTCCTCTCCCTCTGCTCCGGCCCTGGGGACTTTTCTCGGAGAGGATGAACACTAAAACCCCTTCCCGGCTTCTGCCCGAGCCCGCAGGGCTCCCACCCCGGCCTGGGGGTCTGCTGGTGACCTCTGGCACTCTCGGGATCCCGCGCTCGCTCCTCGCCCCCTTCCCGGCAGGCCTGGACGCCAAGCGAGCAGATTCAGAACTCGGGGGACGGACAGCGGCCTCTCCCCGCGTAACCCAGAGAGTTCCGATCGGCTCGGGGCTGCTGCGGGGCTGCGGAGCCAGGAACAGGGGAGGGGAGGGGAGAGGGGCGGATGGAGAGGGCAGTGGGGCCCGAGTCGCGGAGAAAAGATCTCTCCAGCCGTTCCCGTGAGTAGACACTTGCCCAGAGCCCGGCCGCCAGTGGCTAGGAGCCGCACCCCACGCCTGCGCCCCCCTGCGCCGCCCGCACCTCGGTCCAGGGCTGGACAGCGGGAGCCCAGCGGCGCGCTGTTTAAATTTGGGTCTGGGGCTTGGCTGGAGAATGGGAACTCCCCAATATTTTCAGTCAAAGCGCCTGCACGTCATCATCTTCCTTCTCAAGACTGAAATAAACAAAGGAGAGCGGGCGGTGGGGTCGGGGACTAGGGGAAAGAGGGAAAAGCCAAGGGGCGGGAGGAGGGGTGTGGAGGCAGCGGCCCAAAGCATCGCATCCGCGGCCGGTTCCCCCGCCGCTCGGAAGGGCCCGCGATCGCCGCGACGCCGGGGAGAGCGGGGCCGGGAGTCGGGAGCCCGGGAGCAGGGCGGCGAGCAGCTGCCACAGCGGGAGCGCGGAGGCCTTTCCGAGCAGACCGTGCGGGTGTGAAGGCACGCGAGTAGAACGAGACCCTCCGCCTGCAGCCTCCAGATTATGGAAATACGATTTAAAACAGCGCACCAGCGCCTACCGCACCTCCCCCGGGAAGCAAAATGTCCTGGGAGGTGGGGCTGGCGGCGGAGGCGGAGGGGCGGCCGCTCGCCCTCCCCGGGCGCGGATCCGGCCCCACAAAGCCGATCCAATCCGCTTGTTTTCATACATAAGGCCGGGACTGGCTCAAAGGAGCCCCCTGCTTTTAGCAACTTAGCCGGCAACTGTCTCTCGCAACCCTGAGAACAAACGCGACCCCACAATGGCCTGCGTTTTCTCCGCATGCAAATGTTGCGGGCCCCGCCGAGCTGCGCCCCCGGGACCCAGCCTAATGCCAGCTTTGTGAAACTCGCGTGCAGACCCCGAGATTGACATGGGCGTCACGTGACGGATTAGGGCTCCAGGAAAGTTTTCAAAGCCGCGACAATGGGGAGTGCAGCCTGATCTGATATCTCCCACAGTTTAGCGGAAAAGAAAATCGGGATATACTCTCATACGTAATAGGATTATCTTTTCCCTTTCAAATTCTATACAGCATGTAATTTATTTTTAATTAGGATTATATCTACCAGGAAAAGAACTTTGCAGGAAAGTGTAATGCTAAGGATGGATGGAGACAGGGGTTATTTTTTAACCTTTTAACTTAAAAAAAAAAAAAAAAAAGCCAGAGCCCACCGTTTCTTTTCCAACAGGCTCACTCCATCAGATAAAGCTTCCAGGGAAGTTGGCAGAAAGTGTTTGTCCAAGCACAGAACAGAGGCATCCAATTCATTCTTGTAACTAAAGCACACTTTGTAGAGATCTCTTAGAATTAATCAGTCGCTGGGTTTTACTGGGGTTTGCTCTCTAGAAATGCAACCAAGCTCTTTCTGAGCAAGCTCTTTCCTCTGACTGCTTGCTTTGTATTTTAAAGAAAGATCCACCCCCTCCCCACATTTGTTGGTCTGTCAAAACTGGCATAGTTTTGAATTTAAAAATTTATACCAAAGCACAGAGCAACATACTCCACAGCCCTGATTGAAACTCAGCAGTCAGATGATAATGAGACAATGTGGGGTGAAGGTAACTGGTGTTTAAACTTAGATTTGGGATTGATCCCAGTGCCAGATGCTCATAAACCCTAGCCCATCTCCAGGTCCTGGGCCACTCGTCCTGGGTGTTCTGTATTGCAGGATGCCCTGGGATACCCACTTAACCTGGAAAGAAACAAAACATGGCTGTTGACTACAGGCTCTGCAGTCATCCTGCTGAGGTTCCAATGTGAACGTTGCTATTGATTTGCTGTGTGGCTCTGGGCAAGTTAGTTGATCTTTCTGTATCTTAGTTGCTTCATCTGCAAAATGGGGATATTAACAGCCTCTTGTAAGACTGTCTTAAGGACTATGTAAGATAATATAGTGTCAGGTGCTTAGGAAACCTTTTAAAGCACAGGGGGAAAAAAATCATAGGCCATATAATCTTAAATCTCTTATAGGTGAGGGATTTGTTCAGAAAATAGAACTTTACATTGCTTTGGTTTCCTGTCCCCGATCCCAGGCCCCCTTTCTGGAACTAATAGCAGACATAGTAGTAGGTGTACAGATCCCCCAGAAGGACAAAGATGGTCATTGAGGCTTCAAGTGACTTTTGAGCTCTCATGTCATTTCAAAATCTTTTGGTACCTTACTCTCTGTTTGAGATCAGATGGTGGCAAAAAAGAGTTTTCCATAAGCTTTTCACCACAGATTTCCACAGAAACCTCATATCATCACTGAAACTACTTACAGGTACAGATATTTAATAGACAGTGACCCATAATTCCGGGAGGGGGTAGGAATATTCTAAAGGACTGCCCCGCCTAGGATGCCTAGAAGCGTGAGGTGACCTCCCGTGACTTACATGGAGCTGATATGATGTCTAATCCTGTGGCCCTCTTCTGTGAGTCTCCTAGGGCCGCCCTAACACATGTCACAGATTGCACGGCTTAAACGACAGAAATTTATTTCCTAACAGCTCCGGAAGCTGGAAGGCCACGATCAAGGTGCAGGTGGGACTGAGTTCGGAAGCCTCTCTCCCCGCTTGCAGACCCTCACCCGGTCTCTTCTCTGGGAGCACGTGCCTGCTATGTCCTCCTCTTCTTACAGGGGACACCTGCCATACTGGATTAGGACCCACGCTTCTGACCTCATTTGACCTAAAAACCTCTCCAAAGGCCCAGTTTTCAAATACAGCCACATTCTGTGGTACTAGAACTTAGGTTTCAGCATAAGAATTTTGAAGGAACACAGGTCACTGGCTTCATATACCATCATTCTCTCAACAAACCCGATGGAGAACTCACTCATGCCAGACTCTAGTATGTGCTTTGGGACCAGGGATTTTAAAAAGTAAACAAATGATCCACAGTGATAGAAATAAATGGGAGA